TGCCTTTTACAGTTTTTGCTTCGGTCCGAAGTCACAAAAGGATTAAACTCATTTTGGCCACTGCAACTCCAGCGATGGCCGCAAAAGGGAAGAGCAGCATTACCTATTTTTAAATGTGCTGCAGCTTCTGTGCCAGGTGATCACCTCTTTCCTCACCACCACAAGGAATGTTACAATTCAGAAGCCAGACGTCCAGATCTCTCATTTGATGGTGTTTTTTTAATGCACACATTTTTAATTTTTTCATTTAGTTTATCAATTTTTCTTCCTCTTATGGATCATGCTTTTGATGTTAGGTTTTAGAAAAGGAAGATGTTAAAATCATGGGGCAAGGGGCCGAGGAGATGGCTCAGTGGAATAAGTGGAATAAGTTCAATCCCCAGTTCTGCAAAAAAAGAAAAAGAAAAAGGAAAAAAATCACAGGGCATTGCTGACAATCCCAAAACTCTGAGAGACTGAGGCAGGAGGATCACAAGTTCGAGCTCAGTTTGAGTAAGTTAGTGACTAAGCAGGAATGTGTCTCAAAATGAAAGACAGAAAGGGGCTGGGAATGTAGCTCAGTGTAAAGACCCTAGGTCCAATCTCAAGTGCTGCAAAATTTTTTTCCCCATGGAATTATGAGATTGCTGTATTCTAGGATGAACATGGCCATTCGGCACATTCATTGTGTGCATTTTGCTGAAGTGCAGGCGGACTTGCCTCTGGGCAGTTGGCCCTGTTGTTCCAGCCTCCTCTGGGCAGCTGCTACCAGGCAGGTGATCCACTGATGAGAAGCGCAGGCTTTTACACTCCACTGCTGCACTTGAATTGGTACTTTATTCCTTCCTAGTAGTGTTCTCTTAGGAGAGTGGCTTAATTTGTCACTGCCTCAGTTTCTTCATCTGTAAGTATGGATGTTAATAGTACTTCTCTAAGATGTCATCTATAAAGTGCATGAAAAATGACTTTAGCGTGAGTGTGGTGGCACAAATCTGCAATCCCAGCACTTGAGCAGCTGAGACATTAGGATTGAGAGTTCAAGGCCAGCCTGGTTTATGTGGGGAGTTGTAGGCCAGCTTGACAACGCAAGTCTCTGTCCTTAAAACAAAACAAAACAAAACTGCAGCAGAGTTAAGAGTCACCAAATACTAGCTGTTATCAGGGGAACAGCTCCCAACTGTACACCCTGGAGTCTCTGGGGCGCTTCGCATGCCTCTTCTAGAATGACAGGTGGTGCCGTGGGTTAGAGCAGCTGGGGTGATAAGCCTCGCACTTAGCCTTCCTTGACACTTTTAAGGCTGATTGTTCTTTAAAATGACTTTCATTAAACGAGGCAATTTAGGTTGATATGTAGAATCACAAACCTCTTCATCAGATGTAAAAATAGCTCAAACTCCAATAACACTTAGGAGGCAAATAATCTATTAACTACTGTTGCCTAGGCAAAATTAAGCAGTAAGTCTTAGGCAAACCAACAACAGGATGCAAGGTATCTGCATCTGATAAATACATTTCTGTGCTTTAGGGGTGTTTAGTTAGGCCCAGCACCCACTATTGAAGCTGGGAATTCAAAGGTAGAATTCTTGATTTGCTCCCTTTGGAGAAGTTTCAATTTTATTTTTTTATTTTTACTTACAGAATGAGGTTAATGAAATTTGAGACTTATCTACCTTTAAAATGTGTTCATGATCTGAGTGTAGCATGGAAAATTTATAAAGAATTCTTTTTTTTTTAAAGACAAGGTCTAGCTATGCAGTTCACGCTGGCTTTGAGCTCACTTTGTAGCCCAGGCTGGTCTGGAACTCACAGTGATCCTCCTGCCTCAGCCTCCTGACTGCTGAGATTACATGGCCAACATGCCTTTATTTCCCATTACTTTTGTATGGCTGAATTTCTTTCTTTCTTTCTTTCTTTCTTTCTTTCTTTCTTTCTTTTTTTTTTTTTTTGGCGGAACCGGGGATTGAACTCAGACCCTTGTGCTTGCCAGGGAAGCGCTTATTCCACTGAGCCATCTCCCCGGCCTCTTTTCTTTTCTTTTCTTTTCTTTTCTTTTCTTTTCTTTTCTTTTCTTTTCTTTTCTTTTCTTTTCTTTTCTTTTCTTTTCTTTCTTTTCAGAAGTGGGGATTGAACTCAGGACCCTGCGCTTCCCAGGCAAGCGCTTATTCTACTGAGCCATCTCCGTGGCGCATGTATAGCTGAATTTCTGATTTCTCTTTTGATAACAGGACCGTGGAGTTGACAGCTCTGTTTTCCAGAATCCCAAGAAGCTTCACCTCACAATTGGGATGCTAGTGCTTCTGAGTGAGCAAGAGGTCCAGCAGACTTGTGAGCTGCTGCAGCGCTGCAAGGAAGAATTCATTAAGTGAGTGGGCCGGAGGCAAGCACAAATGCAGGGCTGGGCAGGGCCGCTCAGCTGGCTGCTTTTGGGTAGACTTTGCTTGGGAACAGGCAGCTGCGGGACACGAGAACAAGGTCTGTTACCTTGCCTATTTGCAGTGCTTAACATCGGACCATTTTCTGAAGGTTGAAAATAGTTTGGAAGCATATATTTACACATTTGTATGGGCTCTACCTAAATTGTATTTGTTCAGTAGGCATATTTTGTTCTTACACAGAACATCTTGTCATTTTCTCCAAAATAATGCGTTGCAGCACTTAGTGGCTTAAAACCACACAAATTTATTATCTGTGGGTCACTGGGCTAAAATCAAGGTGCTGTAGCTGGGAGTGGTGGTGCATGCCTGTAATCCTACCTCAGGAGGCTGAGGCAGGAAGATTACTGAGTTCAAGGCCAGCCTGGGCTACATAGTAAGATCCTGCCTTGAAAAAACAAAAACCATCACATCAAATCAAATCATATCAAATCAAGGTGTTGCCAGTGATCCTTCCTGTAGAACCCCAGGTCAAAACTGTATAGAGGCTCACATGTGTTCCTTGCTTAGTGGCCCTTTCCCTCCATCTTCAACTCTGACTAAAGAAAGAAAGGAAGAAAAAGAGTACAGGACTGATACGTTGTAGCAATGGAATTTTTATTTTATTATTTTATTTTTTTTGTGGTACCCAGGATTGAACTCAGGACCCTGTGCTTGCCAGACAAGCGCTTATTCTACTGAGCTATCTCCCTGGCCTCTGAAATTTTTATTTTTGTATTTTTTTGAGACAGGGTCTCTATCTGGTTGAGGCTGGCCTTAAACTCACAGTGATTCTCCTGCCTCAGCCTCTCAAATGCTGGGATTGCAGGCGTGTGCCATCACACTAGGCTGACAGGTCTTACACGCTTCTAATATGGCTTTGTAGAAATAGATTACTTTTTTTTTTTTTAATCAAGGCCTCACTATGCAGTTCAAGCTGGCTTGAACTCACTTTGCAGTCCAGGCTGTCCTTAAACTCATAGCAGTCCTGCCTCAGCCTCTGGAGTGCTGGGAGTATAGGTGAGTACCAACACACCTGGAAGTTACTTTCTCACTGGGTAGAATAAGACCATTTTTTTTCTCTAGTTGTCCTGTACATGAAACAGTGTAATACAATGACTTATTCTGGGGCCAGTTATCCTTTTTCACTACTTGTTTCAAAGAAATGGTATTTTTCCTGGGGACCAGGGAGGTGGCTTAGCAGAATAAGCACTTCCCTCGCTAAGCGCAAGGGTCTGAGTTCAATCCCTGGTTCCGCAAAAAAAAAAAAAAAAGTATTTTTTTGAGCAAAATCATAACCTGTGGATTTTACAGTCTGCTTATGCTTTCTGATCTGAAAAAGCAGAGAACCTTTCTTGCCATTGGCTCAGTGATGGGCATGCCTCTTTTCTCTTGGTCTTACCTAAAGTTCAAAGAATTCGGGGCACATTAGATATTTGCAATTTTCCTCTTATAAAATGAAACTTTATTCTTTATCTTACAAAGCCAGGATAATTTCACCCGGTTAGAGTTCTGATACTTTATATTTCCAGTTCACTTTTTGTTAAATTGAAAGCAGCTGCATTTTCCTGGCTGCCTTTGGGATAATCCTGCTACAGTTTGAAAGTAGATAAAATATTTGTTTAAAGAGGTATTTGTCCTTCTTTACCTTTTGAAAATCAGGTCACAGGGTCTTAATCACTGGAGCTTTATCTGAGCTGTGTGAAGATTCAGCTGAGTTTTCCCTTTTGTGTCTCTTGGTGCCTTTTGTGAGTAAATGCCAAGTCTGAGCCCTTAAGCCTGTCAGAGTTGAGTGCATAGGGAATAACGAACAGTCTTAGTAGTTCCTAAGCATTTTTGACATGGCAGGATGAAACCAGTAATTGTAGTTTTTCAAATTCAGCAAAGCTTTTGAAATAGGACAAAGTTACCCTGCCAAAAAATCTGCAGTGCATGCAGAAATTTGTTTGAAGATGCTCTTTTCAGAAAGCTGGAAAGACTTGAAATCAGTAAGTGAAATAAAGCAAGCCACCCCGAGGCTCGAACCTTCCCCTGCCTTTCTTTATAAAGTGTATGGTGCAGCTAGGTAGTGCAGCATTCTGGAAGGCCGAGGCAGGAGGATGTAGCCCTGCCTGGGCAACTTAACAAGACCCTGTCTCCAAACAAGGGGGTGGGGTCTGAGAAATACAGTAGCTCAGCACAGAGGCCCTGGGTTCAAGCCTTACACCCATTTCCCCCAGTATATAGTGCAAATTTTACTCCTGAGAAGATCAGATTATTTGGATTGGTTGAAGACGACTTTTCTTAAAAAAAAAAAAAAAAAAAAGAAGATGACTTTTCTTAGTGGAGGAGATTTCTGAAAAATAGAAAAAGAAAGAAGAGAGGGGAGGAGGAGGAGGAGGAAGAAGAGGAAGCAGAGGAGAACAATGACATAATACTTTTAGTAAAG